CTGTCTAGAATTTCCCTAATTGATGCTTTTTTACCCCCTCAAAATGGGGGGCATTCTCCTGGATCTGGTCACCAGAGAGCAGATAGCATGTATTTGCTCTTTGTGATCCAGCTGGCTGGTATCCGGGAGAGGGAGGGCAGCGGGGCAGACTGCAAGAATGATCCTTGCATTCGTACATCTCAGCACCACCCCCCTCCAACCAGACTGTGCCCTTCTAGGCACCATGTTTGGAATTCATGAAAGCTTTTCTTTTTTGAAATGAAAAATTATGTCCTCAAGATAGGATATTTTATCAGCAATCCCAGGAAAGTGGAAATAAATACAGTGAAATAAAATTAAAATCCATTAATGGTTCTGCCTCATGCTAAATGACTTGTTTTTGGCAGATAGCCATTGGAGGAAACTTTTGTCCATCCACTTTGCTTTAAATGCTTTCTAATCGGATCTCAGTCCTCTCTTCTGTTTCTTTAGCGGTAGAACATGAACTGTTTTCTCTAAAGACATATGCTTACAATTTGTAATTTTGTTTCCTGAAAACTCTCTGGAATATGGTTAGGTCCTGAAATAACTTGCCGTAAAAATCCATACTATAACTGTATCTGGCGATCCTCTGTTTAATGACATGGACTTATTACTATCTGTTCCTTTACCTGTATTCTTCTTATCTTTTTTTTCTATTTTTCTTCTCTTCTCTTACTAAATAGTAGACATACTCTTGCCCTCGCAATTCCATTTCATCACATTCTCTGAGCACCTTGTGCACAGCCAGTCCTCAGGAAAGGAATATGGCACAAGGAATGATGCTTTCCGCATCTCCTCGCGTGGATTCTAGTGGGCTGGTTCTGTGATGGAATTCCTGCCTGCAGGGTTGGGTTCCCTCCTGGGCCACCGAGTGGGCATTAGATTCTCCATGAGCCCCTGAGATCCTCGGGAGAAGGACCAGATCTTCCTCATCTCTGGATCCTTGGCTCCTGGCTCACAATAGATGCTCAATAAATGTTTTTTACATGACTAATACCAAAGCCTAACTCATGCTTTTGTATGAAAAAGTGCATTTCTGGAAAAACAACAATATTCCTGGTTGTAATTGTTCCAAAGGCATGGGGCTCGGGACTGGTTCTGGAAGCAGGGCAGCTGCTGGCAAGGTTCTCTAGTGGGTACAATGATTCTGTGTGGTTCTAACGGCCCTCCGCATCCACTCCCTGGTGTTCTCTCTCTGGTCCTCAGCCACTCAGACATTTATCTCTTGCTCCTGATTGTTCCCCTCAAAGTGAGGGCTCCCACCTCCCCTCCTCTCCCCTCAAGGCTCTGTTACGGACTTTCCAAGGAGGTGGCAAGTGAGATAGAAGCCATGAGTCTGCCCCAATCCCCTCTCAAGCCCCAGACTCTGACCCCCGAGACTCATCTCTTTCCCCACCACTGCACTGAGGTAAGGAGAGGAAGCCCTTAGCCATGCCACTGCCTGGAGTTCTGCTCAGTGGCTTCTCATTCTTCAAGCTGTGAATGAAAACTTAATGATGTCTGCTGCACGCCAGTAGTCGTACTTCGCTCCAGTCCCTTGGCAGTGTGCGCGCTGTTCCTCTTCAGCACTCTTCCAACATTGCATTACATGTATTTACTCTCATGATTGTCTTCCACGTCGAAGCGTGGGCTGTGTTGTCTTCATCACTGTTTCCCTGATGTGGAGCACAGTACCTGGCCTGGACCCTAGTTGATTCTTAATTAACATGCAAGGAAGAAAGACAGGGAGGAAGGGAAACGAGATGAGAGTGGGGGCAGGAGAAGAAAAGGAAGAAAAAGGGATCGCTTTTCATTTCTTATCTGTGTTAACATTGGCTGAGGTGCGATGTTGTGTCTCAATGCAAAAGACTGGCTGAGACGCAAGGAGAAGAGAGAATGGGACATGGAGAAGTTAGGCCTCATAGGCTGCAGTTTGGGAGCAGAGGGGCTTGCAGGCTTCCCTCAGGTCATGGAGGGGACCGTCTCTTCCTGCTCTAGGCAAGCAGAGGGTGATGAGGACTTAGTGACTCACTTTGTTCCTCACTGGACTGGAATTGGTGTGAAATTTTTTCAAGCAATTTCTAGTGTGTGGTAGACCAACCCAAGTCCCGTGAACCAGCATTCCATGAGCCTTGCAGGAGTGGCGAGTTAAAAAAGACTGGAGGGCTACGTGGTCTCTGCCGGCGCCACTTTCCAAAGCAGGGATCACTCTGTGTCTTGTCACAAGCAACCTCCGCGCTGGCCAGGCCCTCACCCACAGTGCCCCAACACGGCAGGGAGCAGCACGCTGGGAGGATTCCCTTCCACACGGTGATGACATTCGGCTAAGTCACAGTTTCCTTGACCCAGGAGGAAACCCGTGTGGTTTGGGGTTAGGGGGCGTGGATAAGCAAGCGCAGATTTTTTCCAATTGCCCGATGGCTTTAAATTGCAACCTCTCTTTTAATTTTCCATTATGCATCAAACACATCTGTGCCAGAACTGGACAAATGTATTCTGTCTGGGAGGACGATCCCAGACAGCTGTAAATTAAGAGTTTGTGTACAGAGATTCCAAAAATGTGGCCTCGTGGTAGGGTGTCCCTGGGACCAGTCACCTCCTCCACAGTCTGCTCCGAGGCTGCTGGCTTTGGCCTGAGGCCTCTGTCAATAGATTTTGCTTTGTATTCAGAAATTCTGTCTTTCCATCAAGTCTCCCCAGAGATGACGGTGTGCAGGGTTGCCTGTGAGGCTTTGCTGGGCAGACTTGTCCCAGGCAGCCTCCCAGTGCTCCTAGGGATGGAGCTGACCAAGGGCATCACTCTCTTTCCTGCACAGGAACACCGAGGACCTCAAAGTTGGTTTCCTTCCAACTTAAAGCATGGCCTAAGAAGACCCTCCCCACTTTTTCTGGATTGAACAGAAAAACTACCATGTAACGCTTTTTAGCAACATTTTTGGCCGGGCGAGGTGGCTCACGCCTGTAATCCTAGCACTCTGGGAGGCCAAGGCGGGTGGATTGCTCAAAGTCAGGAGTTCGAGACCAGCCTGAGCAAGAGCGAGACCCCCGTCTCTACTAAAAAATAGAAAGAAATGATCTGGACAACTAAAAATATATAGAAAAAATTAGCCGGGCATGGTGGTGCATGCCTGTAGTCCCAGCTACTTGGGAGGCTGAGGCAGTAGGATTGCTTGAGCCCAGGAGTTTGAGGTTGCCGTGAGCAAGGCTGATGCCACGGCACTCTAGCCAGGGCAACATAGTGAGACTCTGTCTCAAAAAAAAAAAAAAAAAAACGTTTTTAAACTACAAGAGAAATACATGCTTAATGCAGAGAATTTAGACAATATAGTGAGAAGGAAAAAAGTTGCCTGTAATCCCACCCTTCAACAATAAATACCGCTAATGGTTTAGCAAGACTTCTTTCAATAGGTTCCCATGCCATGCTGCCCTTTTTAAAAATGTAGAAGTCTTTCAAAAGCTGGTTGAGCCCAGTTCCTTTAGCCATCCCTCACATTATTCAATTAGTACTTTCCTCTGAGTCCTGGAAACTTTTAGTTATTCCACATGGGAGAGTCCAGCTGGTGGAACTCTGCCCCTCTGACTCCTCACGAGTCACGCTGCTTTTCTGAAGGAGCTGGCCACAAAGAAAATTGGCCTTGGGAGACAGAAGGTGAAGAGGGATTATGTCCACCGATAAATCCAGCCAGTGGCCCTAAAGGGTAGTGCCAGGTCCTTTATAAGCTGCTGGAAAGATAGAAGAATCCTGTACAAGAAAGCCTCTTATCCAGCCCTGTCTTTGATGTGGTATTTCCTTATTAGACCTCTATTCCTCTGACTTTTGTCCTCTGTCTCTGTGTGGCCAGCATCTGTACATGCTCTGCTCTGTTTGGGAAGGGGCAGCCTCTAAATTGTTCACCTGGGGATAGGCTAGGGCAGCCCAACAGCAGCGGGATGGGCTGGTGGAATCAGGAGGCTATTTTTACCTTCCTGCTTACTTTCCCATCGTGCCTTGAGCCCAGAAGGTGCCCGGTACATGTCTGCTGGTTGATTGATACAGCGAAATTCGAGAGTGGTGTTTGGGGAGAGAACACCTTGGCTACAGCCTGCTGGCTTGCAGTTGTGACAGTCCTGCATGGCAGAAAGGGCTTCCAGCTTCCATGCTGAGCCTCACAAAAGGCTTCAGAGCGGAGGAGAGGAAGCGGGTGATGACTCTACCAGCCGCCAGCCTGCCCAGCCACTGCCCGCGCCAGCCACTCAGCCTCTCCATGAGCCACACAGCACACAGACCACGCTTTTTCAGAAAATTATTTTTTCCTTTCTCACTTTCCATGGAAACTCAAAATAGCAACCAAAAAAGAAGGGGAAAAAAAAAATAAGACCAGGATCCCTCCCTGCCTGCAAAACCATCCCCAGGCAGGGCAGTGACCGTATAGAACAGGGGACAGAGAGGGTTATAGACGCCTCCAAAACAGCTTTCTAATTGAGGACTGTGCACTCATGAGGTGTGGGTGGGTGCTGAGGGTGGTGTATTTTCTTCCAATTTAGAAAAGTGGGTTTCCCCCAGGTCTTGGAGTTCATCTCGCTCTTGGTGACCTGGTGGCTGAGACACAGGCACCTCTCGCTGTGGAGTTGGTGAGGAGGTCCAGTGTGTCCGGCAAGGGACAATACGGCAGGGCGCAGGTGCCTTCCAGGGGGGCATGTGGGAGCACTGTTTGGAGAGGCCTCCAGGCTGTGCTGTGTGTGCCCATAAGCACAGGGCAGCCTGGCAGCATGGAGAAACCTGCGCTCGGATCAGGAAAGCCTAGTTCTAGCATCATGTTGGAGGCCTGAGGGGTTTCGAACACATCCTCCCTCTTCTCTGAGCCGTCGCTTCCTCCCCTATAAAACTTGAAGGGTGGACTAGGCAATTTCTAACGACGTGGCCCCATCCAGCCCGCAGCTTTCTGTGCCTCCAGCCTGCTCCTGGGCCTGCGCACACTCCCTGCCCTTCTGTTGTAAACGCGGTGTTGTTTACCTTCCAGCTGGCTGGCTCGGCAGTCATTGCTTTTGGACTATGGTTTCGGTTTGGAGGCACCATAAAGGATTTATCATCAGAGGACAAGTCCCCAGAGTATTTCTATGTGGGTGAGTGACTTCAGCTTTCCTAGCTTTAGCCCAGGGGAGGGCTGCCCAGAGGCTTAGAGCAGAACCTGCACCTGAATTTTGAGGGGAGGAGGAGGGAGGGAGGCGCAGGGAAAGAGATGGAAAAGAGCCAACGCTCACACCCCTACACAGGCCACCACCTGGCCTTCAGAGATGTGCACGGGCGGGCAGGTGGAGGGGACCTGCCCACACCTCCACCCCTCCCCGCCCAAGGCCCATCCTCCGCTCTCCAAAATCAAGGAAGGCCAGTGCAGCAAGGTTGAACTGTTGTGCTGCTTTTCTTCTCAAGAAAAGAAGCCTCAAGAAAATGTAACCAAAATTAATTTCAAAGAATTAGAAAACTCCCTTTTGCCCCCTGAGTAAAGTGGGTACACCATAAGGCTGTCATTCACTAGTCCATCTGGGATGACATGGGGCCTCTGCCAAGTCAGGATCTTATTTTGTGCTCTTGTATTTTAAATTGTCTAGGATGGAAAGGTAACTCAAAATGAAGAGAGATATCTCAAGGTTTGCAGGTGCTAATTTGAGCCCCTCCATGGCTGGGGACTGCAGAGAGGAGGGAGGAGAGAAGGGGAAGAAGAGGGCAAGGAAGGCGGCCCCTGGGAAGAGGCTACCATAAGAGGGGCCGTAGCCCTGCCTGGGCCAGCAGTAGGAAGGGGTGAGGAGTGTGGTGGGGTGAGGCCTGCAACTCTGAGACAGTGCTATCAGTGGGGACTGAGCACTGCTGCCCTGCATTTAGTTGACCTACTTCTAGCCCACTCCTGTGGCCTTTTCTTATCCTCCAGCTAGGTGGCCTAGACTCTAGATTTCAGAAAGCCCAAGACCATTGTCATTATAGGTGACACCCCTGTCTGACTGGCTGTTTTAAGATCCACACCAGCCATAGAGTAAGCTTAAGTTACTTGTGGCAACCTCTGTGCCTGGGGAGGAGGAGAGTCATGCACATGTGATTTGCTCCAAATCCCAAGAAGAGTAGAGTCTCTCCCAGGAGAGAGCGAGAGAGTCCAGCTCTGCTCAGGGCCACGGACATTTTCCTGAAGGGCCGGCTCACAGCTGTGTTGCCTGCCCTCCCAAACACTCTTCCTCCACAGCACCCTCCGTGAGAAGAGCCTTGTCAGCTGGGATACTTTTAGAGGAAAGTAACAGAAGACCTACTGAAGATGGACAACAATAAGGACATTTCGCACTTCATGAAATCTTAGATGCAGCTTTTTGTAAAACACCCAATTGTTTTAGATTCCACTAAGAAAGAAAAGAATGCTGACAATTTAACTATGACATAAAAGATGCATACTTATTTCAGAATTGTTAAAATGTTAAAAAAAAAAGTACATCTCAAAGTTGATGCAATGTGGTAAAAGAAGTCTGGAGATGGACAATTTCTAGAATTAGTTCAGGGCTCGCAGACATAGGTTCTTCCCTCTTTTTACTCTGCCATCCCCAGTATGTCCTCAGACCTCACCTCTCGTGGTTAAAAGACAGCTGCAGGGGCTCCAAGCATCATTTCCTCACACAGCAGCACCCAAAGCAGAGAAAGAGGAAGTTTCATCTCATATGGCCCTTTTTAGGAATGAATAAAACCTTTTCAAAAGGCCCCCAACACATTTCTCCTAGCAGCTTATTGGCCAGAATTGCATTGTGCATTCACGCCTAAACCATCGTGGCCAAGAAGAGAATTATTAGGACTGGGCTGGCTCTCTGGCTAACTGATATTCACACTTGGGCCCAGGAGCCGCCCAGCACCCCCACCCCCAGAGCCTCTGACACTTGAACAAGATTGGGGTTTTATGACAAGGAAAAAGTGGAGGAATCTGCAGTACACTTAATACTGAAATGCCCATTTCTACCCGCATGGTTTCTAGGTGGTACACACCCTTCCATCCAAAAACTAACACATACATTTAGCGTATTCTTCCTCGGCACACTCCTGGCTCTGAAAACCTCCCCAGACGCATTCTCCTGTCCCAGAGCAGGCCCAGAGTGCTCCGAGGACAAGCTCAGCCCGTCCTTGTCCTGTACCACGCCCAGGAGTCGATGAGCCCACCTAGAAGACGCATAGAAAGAGGCAGAGGGGAGGGTAGGGGAAGGCGTGCATCTTCCTTCGCATTGCTGATACTCCAAAACTGCTGATTTCATAACTACTCCCCACAGTTTCTAACTCAGTTTTAGCACAGTCGCAACTCGGTGCTTACTGAATTAACCACAGCAAAGGTTTAATTCCGCTTTATTGGGATTCTTACCTCTGCAAACATATATAGAAGAAATGTTCCATAATCAATACCAGACAACAGTCATAAGTGTAGTACGTGCCACGTGAGTGGTCCAGACATAACCACTGAATTAAGAAGTGACAGAGCACCGGGGACCGGTGGGACAGGCCTCAGGGTACACGGGGCTTGAACGGGGCTTGGAAGGACAGGTGGGTTTTGGATAGAATGAGGTAGGGAGAGCCTGTTTCATGCCTCTGAGGTTGGCCAGCATACGGCAGGCAGCTACCATCTTTTTCCTTGTCTGTGGAGAATATGGCAAATTGTTCAGGACATTCTTTTGGGGAGTCTTCTTAACCCAGCTCTCCCCAACCATTTACAATGGATGCTCAGGGTGAACCTTATTTTCTGTCCCTACTCTGAGGTCAGTAGTTACTTGACGTCCTAACGTGAAGTCAGTCACAATAAAACAGTGGAACTCTTTTGCTCCTAAACTTCAGGCATTTGGGGGATCAGGGTGCGGCATTCAGTCTGCCTGCTCTTATGTACTATCGTGTTTGCCCCGGAACCCTATTTATCTCATCTTCCTCAGATATAATCCTAGAACTTTCCAGCAAAAACTGCACTCGTGCCCTTGGGTCGATGAGGAGTCCACCCTCAGTTAGAGCCAAAACATGGGAAAACACCAACCAATTCAGTTACATTCACAAATTCTGCAAGTTGTTTGCCAATAGCTAATTGCCTTAAACCCAGCCACCTACCCACCCTCACCACCAAGTTTGAGGCTGAAGGATTTTAATTTCTATAATGCAATTTTTCTGAGATTGAACTGGAAATTTTTCAGCAATAGTAAAGAAAAGCCATTTTAAAAGGCCATCAAGGGTTATGTGAGAGACATCCAAGAGAAGCCGTATCCCTCTCAGCGATAATCAGCATCTGTCTGTTTAAAAGTCTCCCCATGGTTATTTTAGTTTTTTGGATTTCACCAGATATTTGGTTCTGTGTATACATAATTATGTATTCAAGCAGGAGTGCCCCTATTCTTCCCATTTTTGGCCGTTTCTCTATATTAGAAAAAAAGGTAACCTATCAATATAACCTAAATATGATCCACCAGCCAGCACTTCCAGTCCTGGGCTCCGGTTACGCACAGAAAAGGATAAGAACGCTCTCATTGGCCCCATGTCACTTGCAATGTATTTGAAAAGACTCACAGACTTGATAGTTTAAATTACAATAAAAACTAGTATGTGACTAAATGCCAACCAAGTGGTTTTTACAGTGGGTGTATCAGAGGTCGTTCTAAACTGGTGAGGCAGGAAGGGTTTGACTTAGGTTTTAAAGACTGGGCTGTAATCAATGGAGAGGAAGAAGAACAAGGACTGCAAAAGCTGAGGGACAGGCCAGGCGCGGTGGCTCACGCCTGTAATCCTAGCTCTCTGGGAGGCCAAGGCGGGCGGATTGTTTGAGCTCAGGAGTTCGAAACCAGCCTGAGCAAGAGCGAGACCCCGTCTCTACTAAAATTAGAACGAAATTAGCTGGACAACTAAAAATATATAGAAAAAATTAGCCGGGCATGGTGGCGCATGCCTGTAGTCCTAGCTACTCAGGAGGCTGAGGCAGGAGGATCGCTTGAGCCCAGGAGTTTGAGGTTGCTGTGAGCTAGGATGACGCCACGGCACTCTAGCCCTGGCAACACAGTGAGGCTCTGTCTCAAAAAAAAAAAAAAAAGAAAAAAGCTGAGGGACAGGCACGCACAGGCACGTCCACAGGGTGGCAGTCAGCAAGCCCAGACTGTGGAGGGGGCTCTTGCTGGAACAGGGTGCACAGGGGCCAGGCATGGTGGGGAGTAAGACTAGGAAGGTGGGGGAGGGAGGGAGGGTAAGTGTAGGGGCCCCGAATATCAGGGTTAATTTGGTAGGCGATAGAAGGGTAATCTGGGGCTTAGGGCAGGGTCTGGTCTGCACTGCATTTTAAAGAGACGATTCTGGCAGCAGTGGAATGAAAGAGGAGTCATAGGATAGGAAAATATATGGTAGATCATTGACATAGTCAGGCCTGAAGAAATGAACTCATAACCCACAGTGGTTGCAGTAGGAATTATGAAGAAAGAGGCAGAAAGGAAAGAAACATTATTAACCATTATTAAGCCTGACTAATCAAACTCAGGGACAGAAGAAATGAAAATGGCAAAAGACAGCAGTCCTGATCCATGGTTTTCGGGTGGAGACCTGAGTTGCAGGTGTACGTAAGGTGCCTCCTGCTCAGAGAGGGGCAGCTGCGCGGAGCTCGGGGTGGCAGCCAGTCCCTGGGCGCAGCCTCTGTCTGTGTTGCTCCAGAGACGAAGTGCTGATAGCGATTTCGCAGGTGTGACTTTGGGTTCAACATAAGAAAACCTTTTTAATGATTTAGTAAATCAAAAAAGTTGGACAGACCTCCACAGATGAAAGTGAGCTCTCCTTTATGTTGGTTATTTAACCACGAATGTAGCAAAAATCAAGAATTTGGCATTTATCGATTCAGGAGATTCCTGGCTTGAACAGGGGGGTGAACGAGCTCTCATAAACATCCCTGATTCTGTTTTCTAATCTAAACCCAAGCAGTGTGCCCACTGCCCGAGATGTGAGGAGTGAGTGATTGTGTCGTATCTTTATAGGCATATCCACCAGGACTCTCTCTATTGCAGATCGCAAACACCTACTCGGATTGACTCGAGCAAAGTAGAAATGTATTGACTCACACAACTGACAGGTCCAGGGTTAGTGCTAGTCTCAG